TCCATTATTGATTTTAAACTTTTGCATACTGTAAATATTCCTAAATGAGCCATAATATGTAATCAAAGTAGTTACTTAAAAGTGGGCCTCATCATTACATTTCTTTTATGTTATAGACTTTCCTATTTATGCTGTTTTTCCAGCAGTGATATAATATTACATAGCCCAATTTTTTTACAGCTGTCACTAAGCAGTTAAACCATATTCAATTTGACTTATGCAGCTGTCCTCATAACTGAAATTGGACCTTAAAATAACAGCATCGAATGTTTACATTGCAGATAAGCTTTTTATTGCAGCATGGAGTTTCATGAAGAATATTTGCATTTTGTTTTGATTGGTGATAAAAACATCAAAAATCAGTTTCTGTAGAAACTGCGTATGATGTATAATATTAAGGATGTAAGAAGTGCGTCTGATCATGACCACAGAATGTGCCCATTAATGTGCCAACAAATCTTAGCAAACATCATATGCTTAGGTGTTTGTTTACCTACTCTGAAAGCGACATGTTTAAAGATGCATTTAATCCCCTCTTCCTCCTCTATGAATAACCTGTAATTACAGTATCTTTTTATGGACTCTTTACTGTATCTTTATCTGGAGCAACTCAGAGTTGACAAAAATTAAAGTTGCCGGATAGATTGAGTCGAATTATATGTTCTGTTCGTGTATTACTTTAAAGCAAGCATTATGCACATTTTGTCTGTACATAACTCATGAACAAGACTGTTTAATGCGGTTGAACCTGTATTTAATTCCAAGGTGTACTGCAAGTGAATGCAATAAAAAAAAACATTCATCTATCTACTATAGCACAGATACTTGGAAAACATCAGGCAGATGACATGCAGGAGGCAAAAGCATACACTATAATTAGTTTAGATAAGAAAACATCACTTTGAGGAATCAACCTATGAAAAACACTTACTATAAGTGTCTGTGCTGATACATTTGTTCATCATCTAGACAGATAATCCAGTAGTGGAACAGTAGCCACAGATTTTATGCACTTGGATTGAAAAGTGATTCACAACCAGGAAACGGTGCATCATCTTTATGGGCACATGGCAGGCCTCAACCTAAAGTGGCTCGTGAGGTCTGTGCACATTAAAGCCATTTTGTTAAAGAAATCCCTCTCTAGAAACACACGTTCTTCAGAAACTCAGCACCAGCGACCACATTGAAGCCTCTTTCTATACCAAACCAACTTAACCCCAAGTGTGAGAATGGGCAATCTCTACCCTTAACCAATTATTAGATAAGATCACTTTACTGGCCATAAACAATTTGTTGTATGAGGAATTTGTCTTTCCGCAGACCCCAACGTGCTATCTATGAGACACACAGACAGGGAGAGAAGCTTGGGCTATAAGCTATTAGCTAATCCACCTCTAGTGTGTCATAAGAGGCCTAATGACCTCTAGTAGCAGATTGGCTGAAATTGGTCTATCGCTAGCCTACCAAAAGGCACAATTTCTAACTTGTCAGATGTAAGCCGTGGTGTAGTTAATTATGTAAGTAGGTGACATTGTGATATAATGAATATCCTGCTTAAATTTGCAGGTGAAGCAGAAATTGGGGGAGTGGCAGTCAGAAACCGTGGCAAGAGGAATTCCAAAAACACTTTGGATTGGACAGACACTTGGCAAATGAAATTAAGATGAACAAATTCAAAGCGATCCCCAGTAGTAGAAGGACCATACACCGCCTATGCATATACTGGACATATTTCATAGGTGGTTTGGAGCTGCAGGAATTTACACAAAATAATTCTGTGTTTATATAGGTTGTTTTATTTTATCATCAAGACGTAGTAGGGAGATGTAACACAATCCGAGTGCTGGGCTATGTAGAGACTAAAGAAATCTGTTAGCAACATTCAGGTTCCTATGAAAATACAAGGGGCACCTACCTTTGATTGGTAGTCTTTTGTTTGATCAATAGTGAGGTTTCTCCCAGTGAAGCCTATAATTACATATGTATCAGGAAATCCTTGTTATGTTTTTTTTTTTAATTTTTAATACTTTTGCATGACTTTGAAATCTAGATATGTCTATTTAGTGATTTAAAGTATTTATGGTACAAAGTATCATATTGTGTTTAATAGATTTATACTTAAAATTTTAACCAAAAAATGAAAAGACTAGAATTAGAGTAGGTTTCCATGTGTAGAATTGATGCATAAAAATTCCAGATTTTTTTTTCTCATTTTTAAATGGAATTCATTGATTACTGAAATCCATATACTGCAGAAAGTATTTTACTAGCTAGAATGGGACATGTCATAAGCCCAGTTTTATTAACATTATGATATTATTCAGATTCCACTAATGGGTTCCAAGTATACATGGATAAAAATAAATATTTGCATTTATCCATAATCATTGCATCAGTAGTAATTCATATTCAGAAAAATTCAGACCTCAGTAAGACCTACATTTTGTCAGTTACTGAAACACTTAATCTGATGGTGAGGACTATGTCTTTTTTTCTTCTTCTCTTCTTTCGAGGGCCTATCTATCTGTAAGCGAGAAGTAGAGATGGCAGTCTCACAGGGAAATGCCAAGCCTGTCTGCTTTGCAGAAACCCAGTCTCTCCTTAAGCACTACAGGGAATATCACGGTTTGGATTAACAGCTTACACGACTGATCCCATTAAACAATGATGGGATTTAGTTGGAAAATGATCTTATCAGATCTTGTCTTGTTTTCAGACCGCTAATCGCTGTGATTGTGAAAATAGACAGGGGTGAACAAAATAATGATATCAACAAGCAATATATACAGTACATTTTTATTACCTTATAAGGAGATGGGCCACTCCCTGTCTTCAGAACAGCTTCATTTCTTCTTCCTTCTTCAAGTTCTGAACAGTTTCTAGTGAGGTATTGGACCATTCTTCAAGAAGGCCTCCAGTTATTTGAGAGAAGGAGGTAGAAATCTACTCCACAGGCTATGTTTATCCAATAACAGTTCACTGATGTTTAGATCTGGTGACTGGGGAGGCCGTGGAACAGATTTGACTTTATCCTGATGTTCATGAAACTCTTGTATCCATTGAGCAGTGTATCTTGTGGGTAGCAGTGTGGAGGAGCAGTCGTTTCCTCAAGACGAATATGGGAATATCTTGAGGAAACAATGTCTGCACTATAGGGTGCACCTGGTCACCTGAAATGGCTTTGTATTCCTTGGCAGTAGTTCTATCATACGGAGTAATAAATGGACCCAGTGACTCCCAAGAGATGGCTTCCCATTACCATAACAGATCCATCACCATGTTTAACAGTTGGGAACAGGTAGTCAAGTTGAAGGCTTCCTTGAGCTTTCTCCCAACATTAACCCTTCCAGATTAAGGTAAAAGGAGTAAAAGATGACTCATGAGACCATATAACTTTCTTCAGGAGCTGCTGTGAATTAGCCTAGGTTGCAAGTGGTTTCCGAATGACAGCCCTACTGTAATTATCAGCTTTGTACAGTTTTTGCTGAGACTGATTCACAGATGTGTAGATTCAATTCTGTGGTAATTTTTTGGCTATTGCTTAGTGGTTTGTAGCATCTATCCTGTTAAGTGTTCACCCATGTCCCTGTAAGTGAACTTTGATTTGTGACCTCTTTTTTCTTTCCTTTTGCTGTGTACCCTTCTTTGGCATACAGTATATCATCATGGTGTTCAGCACTGTTCCCCTCGACACATTCAATAATTTGGTCGATTCTTTGAATGACACGCCTGCATTTTGGGCACCAACAATTTGACCAGTTTGATCTGTTGGATCTCTCGTGTTGCTTACATGATTTATAGTGGAAACTTACTGGTAATTGCTATCGAAAATAATATGAAACGCATGTAGAATTCTTTTTAGTTGTGATTTTTGTTAGGTGTTTCATTACTTTGTCCACCGCTTTCCCGAGTCAAATTAATTGAACAAGTGGTGCTTTATTGTACAATCATATTCCTTTGTTTTCACTTTAAAGTGAAGCAAAAACTGAATTTTAAACTATTCAAAACCTACTGTAGCATAATTTTTCTGCTTAAGTTTGGAAGTGATGCAATTTAAGGGAATGAATTTAAACTTAATTTATTATACACTTTATTGTGACTGAAATTTAATGACCATTTCACATCATATTTCACATTTCATATTTTTAATGCTGATTATCTTTCTGAGATAAATGAACTGCCACATACACATTAATGGAACAAGCCACCTGAAGAAGGCTTCACAGCCGAAACGTTGTGTTTTCTCTCTTCTCTTTTCAGCATGGAATAAACCTATTACTTGTTCCTTTGCAGCCTACGCATGCTGACGCAGCTACCCACCTGAACATACACGTTAATGTCTGTTATAGAAAGTCTCAGCAAAGGCTATATTTCATTCTTAAGTTAAAATTATTCAATGTTGACACTATCATTGTTTTTTTTATCCAAATTAATTTAAACATTTACTCTTCACTGCTAGTACAAAGCCGAAATTGTCAAAATTATAGCTTTACAATGATTCTAAACTAGTAATTAGAAATATAGCAAATTTTTTGCATTTAATTTTCTTTATGATATACAAATTCTATATATAGCGTTCTGGCTATATTTAACTTCACTAATGCTGACTCATGAACACTTTATTAGAATGTGTGCTCTAGAAAGATGTGAGCTTTACTAGTCCAATTAGCTAACTACTTTTCCCAGTCTGATAATGTAATAATATCTTAAATGTATTGTGGCTAAAATAAAATTGCTATACAGTATCCTCTAGATTTATTCATAACCCCCGTGAACTGTACTTAAAAGTTGTTTTTTGTGCAAAAAGTGCAGGTTTATATTCTGGTGAAAGAAAATTCCCTCGATAGAAACAAATCAAAAAAACGTTTTGTGGCTCAAAAATCCAGTTAAACTTTGTAGTGACAGAATCCGTTCATGAAAACGGTGAAGCTGCAGGCCAGGGACTCTGAGGGAGTGCGGCTGTGATGTCTCTCTGTGACAACTCTGTTTCTTTCTTTCAGGATGTGACGCAGACCTTCTGAGATGTTGGAACCTCCAATGAAACACAGAGACTCCCGATGGATGGGGTTATACCACGTCAGAGAACTGAAGTGACCATTATGCCAGGCGATGGCATCTTTGCAAGTCTGCTTGTATACCCCTGGGAAGAATGGTTTGCACAGATAATGTATTCCCATTTGAAGCGAGAAAAAACAGCGGAACCTTAATTGCCAGAGATGAGGGTTTTTTAAATGTTACAGCACTGCATCCCAGGGTGTGAATTGCCATGGCTGAGGGTTCATCTGACAACAGTTCACATGTTTTGGGTGTTTCCACAGAGAGAGGAACTGTCACCCCTACCATACAGGAGAACTTTGAGGGTCTCAGCCTACCCCTCCGAGTATTCCTATTGATCATCATTATTTCTATCCTGCTTGTCTCCTTCCTAGGGAATGTGGTCGTCTGTTTGATGGTCTACCAGCGTTCAGCTATGCGGTCAGCCATTAACATTCTCCTTGCTAGCCTGGCTTTTGCAGACATGATGCTGGCCATCTTAAACATGCCCTTCGCCCTGGTCACTGTGGTCACCACCCAGTGGATCTTTGGAGAGGTGTTTTGCAGAGTATCAGCTATGTTCTTTTGGCTGTTTGTCATGGAAGGAGTGGCCATCTTACTTATCATTAGCATTGATCGGTTTCTCATAATCGTTCAGAAACAGGACAAGTTAAGCCCCTACAGGGCTAAAGTGCTAATTGGTGTCTCCTGGGGTATTTCATTCTGTTTCTCCTTTCCTTTGGCCATTGGCAAGCCCAACTTGCAGGTCCCTTCCAGGGCTCCGCAATGTGTGTTTGGCTACACGACAGAGCCAGGCTACCACACCTATGTCGTGCTCATCATGTTAGTCTTTTTTTTCATTCCGTTCATGGTCATGTTGTACACCTTCATGGGCATCCTGAACACTGTACGCCACAATGCCATCAGAATCCATAGCCACACTGACAGCATCTGCCTCAGCCAGGCAAGCAAGCTGGGTCTCATGAGCCTACAGAAGCCTTTCCAGATGAACATAGACATGAGTTTCAAGACGCGTGCCTTTACAACTATCCTGATTTTGTTTGCGGTTTTCACAGTGTGCTGGGCTCCCTTCACGACTTACAGCCTGGTTTCAACCTTCAACAGTGGATTCTATTACAAGTCTGACTTCTTTGAAATTAGTACCTGGCTTCTGTGGCTATGCTACCTCAAGTCTGCACTCAACCCTCTGATTTACTACTGGAGGATAAAGAAGTTTCGAGATGCCTGTTTAGATTTAATGCCCAAGTACTTCAAGTTCCTTCCTCAGCTGCCTGGCCACACAAGGAGACGAATTCGGCCAAGCGCCATCTATGTCTGTGGAGAGCACCGGTCTGTTGTATAACGCACAACTGTAAAAGATTTGAAAACTGCCATTACATGCCATTCTCATGTTTGTTTGCAATGTGAACTATATCAAAACACTATATTTTCTAAACATGACATGTTGTGAGTTATAAACGAGTGGTTTACATGATGTAATATCTTATTTCTAGGAAGATAAAATGTGACAAAAAACAAAGTAAAAAATATTTTTTATTTAGGCCATTTATTTGTGCCTATGAGTTCATGACAGTCTGAATGCTGCTATATTTTGTGAAAATGTGCAATTTAAGTGTACTGTACTTTTTTCCTGAATATAATAAAATGTAGACGTTTGTTACATTGTTATTATGTCTTATTGTGCTTCATTTCAGGCCATTAGCTGGATGATTATAGAAATATATCCCTTAATTTATACATTTTGCATCATTGGGGAATGTATTTTTTAACGGTTTTCTTCATTAATTCGGTAACTGAATAAATCAGAATATTAAGTATGTACAGTAGATAGCTCTGTCACTGGTCAGAATGAGAAGTAAGATAAGCAAAAATAGTATGCTAAAAACGTGATGAAGTAAATGTTGTAAATTTAAAATGTCATTTTTTACAGATCATTAGCAGCTTGACATTTTTGTTTTGTCCTGGAAGAATCTTAAGCAGTGACAACACTGCTTAGAGTGGAAGAGAAGAATCAAACAACAGAACAAACAGTCTCCAGGTCAGAGATATTGGACAGCTGCTTTCCCTTAAGCAGGACATATTCTGAAAGAAAATGGCCACACAGAGCAAATACATTTCTGATACACAAGTATGTGTGAAGAGAAAAACATTTGCTTCAGGGATTTGGGATGGAATATATTTTTAGATCAATCGACTCTTGTTCACTTTCTCTCAGATGAAGGCTTTTTTGGTGGTAGTGCTTAGAAGAAAACTGCACGTGCTTGTTACCAACAAGATGTTTTATTAAAAGAATGGTGATGAACAATGAATGAGATCACTAGAGTCAGTGTGTATAAAAATTTCAGCTTTTTAGGTTAAATGAGTAGCTTATCTTGGCCTTACTTAGTGATTTCAAAAACGTTTATTTTTACTTTTTATTGTATGTGGCATTGATTTATTTTTCTTTCCACGTATTGCACCAAAAATGGCTTTCACAGACTGTATTCACTACTGCCGGCACATACTGTATAGTAGTTGATTGTTATGCGCAGCAGGAGTGAACTCTCAGTGGAACTCAGATAGTCAGGATTTACAGCTTGTGACTCCTTGGTGCAGTCAATGAGTGTCACAACCTTCATGTCATCCTCCTATTTCCAGGCTGTAGGACTGATCCTGTTATCCAAGACATTAGTGTATCTCATCCCTGTCAGAGAAGCATATTGACTCTTTTTAGTTTCAGACTTTTGCTGCATAATGATGCGCTTATTTCACCTCTTCTATAAATATATTTTTCTTACCATGCAAGCTCGGTTTCTATAAAGAGCTGTTAGGAACAAACTGTACAGAAGCTGTTTATCAGAAAAAAAAGTTTCAGAAAAAAAAAGTTTTTTTTTTTATCAAGCCCTGTAGGTTTTGACATAATGCAGGGGCTTCTTATACCAAAGTCTGGAGATCGCTAGCAGGGTTCACAGATACAATGTGCTGCTTGCATTTTTGACCAGATGCAATTTTGAGTTGCTTTGGATAAAAGTTTCTGCCCAATACATGTAAATGTTAAGAAAAACACCAAGATCAGGGTGTACTTTTGTAACGCTATCCACTGTGAAGATCTGATGGTATGTATCATAATCCTGCACTTTAAGTATTGTGATTGTATATATAGTGTAAGAGTTCTTGCACTGAAGTTTTATATCACTGTTACTTTATACTGTACAAATGCGTTATGATTTATTATGTAATTTGTTAATTCTCTTATCTGCACAATGCCCTTTTTAGTTTTTGCAGCATCTAATTAAGCTATTAGTGTACTCCTCCTTGAATTGGCACTTCAATTTGATACATAAAAATAATTAAATAAAACATTCAAATCCTTTGATTCCTAAAAAAGCTGAAATGTCCTTATTAACTTTCAGCCTGAACTGATTTGGGTGAAATCATATTTTTTCAACACTCAAATCAAAGGGAATAGATACAGTAGTTCCTTGACATCAGTATACACATCATAACGCACCCTTAGTGATCATCTTTCATTCTGGTACTGTTTTGACTTATTACACAGTTAAATATGATTCACCTTATTCTATTGATTTGACAATACAAATAGCTGTACGTAATGCAAAAATGGTCATATTGAGTTTTTACTTTTTTTAAAATTCAGTTTAGATCTAAGTGAAAAAGAAAGCTTGCTGTCAGATGGATGTCTGGATTAGAAGTGTGAAAACGAAGAGTGTTTTATTCTACACACCTGTACATTTTGTACAGTAAAAACAATGTGAAAACAATCCGTGGATGACAATTCCAATTCTCAGAACCTGAGCTTAGTGGGTGTTTTCCGTTGGGTAAACATTAATTAGGTGTCGTTCTACACTGCTGCAAGCTACTCTCAATGGGAAATAACAAGGCCTGACAGATCCTCTTTTATTGGAGGAAGAAGATGCCAAAACACTGAAGGAAAACACAGAAGGCTCTCATGCTAATTTGAATATTTCTCCTTAATCTTCCTCACTTTCCTCTTTAATTCTAAGTCATAATGTTGCTTGGTTTATTGTCAGGCTACAATACATTTGTATTTCATATCTAATTGGTTCTTATTCTCCTCACGACCCAGGAAGATGCAAAAGGAGACATCCTACTCAGACCTCTCAGCAAAATGCTAAGAATTGAAACTATTTAAAGATAGTTCAATAGGAATAACTACACCCCAAAACTAAGCATAGTGAAAGGTTTATAGAGTTTTTTTAGTCACAGTAAATCAGTGATATTTAATAGGACATTTAGCAGACATTGTAAGTAGGACTTTTTTTTTAGAGTGTTTGTTCCATACGTGGATTATATGTGCTGTAAACCTCTGACTTTTTTATATTCGTGCTCTATGCATATGCAAGTTTAAAGGGAAGAAATTTGATTCATGTTTGAGAAAGCTTGTGATACAAAGCTGTAAGTACAGAATCTAACTTTGATTACAGGGAAGGCAGATTTTTAAATGTCAGTGTGTCATCTGAAAAAACGGACATTAAGCATCAAAGCAAACCCTGCCGTGGAGACTGAGTTTAACTTGCCTGGCTAATTGAGATAAAGATTATTCTAATAAACCTGATGCTAAGGTGATTCTTCTCAGGTTTGTCAATATAGAGGTTGATATTCTTAATCAGGTTCCTCACAGGAATTCATTATCTTTACAGTGATGACTAATGAGATGTGCTCTGGGCTTTGAAGCTCCCTTTAATCATAGTGAGAAGGCTACTATTACCAAGCAACAGAAACACGGGGGTGTCTTTGGAGAAGCCTGCTAAAAAAAACATATTCAGTCATTTTACAAGAGCAAAACACATACATAATATATAAAGAAAATATCACACATTGTTCTCATCCCATTGCATGCCAATTCAAAAACCTCTGAATAATATATGAGAATAATATGGAAATTATTTGCCAATACAATTAATACATTTCTCTAGTTATACATTATATACAGTATAAGCATCTTTTAGTCATAAGATGGGAGAACTGTGGTAACTCAGTTTGTGAAGAGGATTGTCCAAATGTGATTTCCAATAAGTTTATGCTACACTGAGTTTAGGTTTAATGAAAACACGATGCTCTTGTTTGATCTTCTCAGTGTGTTATGCTTTCTCTGTTATGGTTGTAATCATTTAACTCTTTCCTTCCTCACTAGCTATCTGTGTGAAATGCACGGAGTGAAATTTCATGTAATTTCCATGGGCATTTGTAGTGTTTTAAATAAAGGCTGTTCATTGAATCTGGATGTTTCACATACAGTTGCCATTGTCCACACACTATGCGGCTATAAAATCATTTATTTTTAGTGAGTTAATCAAATCAGTAATGATTGTGAAATACAGGGGTTAACTATTGTGACTGTGGTATCATTTGAAAAGAGCTGAAGGTTTTATTATTTACAAATACATTTAAATTAGAAGAATTAATTTTGATACAAATTAAAGAACCCCAAAATGTCACTTTTTAGTGTGGTATACATTTGTATCTGTGTGTTTTTTTCATAATAAAAAACACCTTTTTGTGGACTAGAAAAATATAACGTTTCAAAGCAGTTTTTTTTCCTTTGTTATAGAGAGCAGTATTTCACATCTCATCGTGGCAACACAGCAAGGTGTTTTTTTATAGTGAGTCGACAATGGTGAATTTGTTCACAATCGGGTAAATAATTTAACTGCTTTAAAGTTTAACCTTATTATTTCATTTTTCAGGGGTACTGATGATTATAACAACACAGATTAGAGTGAAATCTTTCAATCGTTTTTGACATACATTGTATATATATATTGCTTTGTTCTTCACTAATGATGATAACAATTGGTGCTTTTCAAAGTCATAATGACAACCATTTCAAATGTATCCGCATCTAGAGAGGGCTGGCCAAACAGAAAGTTCAGAAAATAACAGAAGATATATGTAGCTACAGTACTTAGAAACTATTATTTAGCTCTTAATGGCTGGGTGCAGAGCAATGGCTTGATTTTAGAGGCCTGCATTCAATACAATTGTGACATATTCTAAGTTGAGTAAAAAGAGTGTTTCTTGAATTTAAAATTGGAATGTATATAAAATAGCTGACATTATATATAATACATTATAAAATGTATTTGATTCATTTCCTATCGGATGTAATCTAAAGATTACTTGACATTATGGAATAATGTATCCTTTGAAGCCATAGTTAAATTCTGGCCCTCTAATGTTTGGTTAGCTTAGCTAAAAACATGATCTGAGATTTCTACAGAAGTGGCTCCATGGAAAAAATGTTTTTTTTTTTTTTAAATGCACTGCTGGAGTGAAAACACTCTGCTACTCTCAACAATAAAATTTGAAAATCCTTTAAGCTGCTTGTTGAAGTGTGGTTCGGCTTTGTGCACCTCGAGGAATCACGGTGCAGTGTCATGTAGCAAGAGGCCTCTTCTCCCTAGTGAATAACAGTGCTTTCAGTTAACACAGCAGCGAGCTGAAGAAAGAGAACTGAGATCATTTTTTTCATCATTGTTTTTTTTTTTACTCACAATACAATTTCTCTGGTTACTACCTCCAGAGAAGGTACAAGTTTGGTAATAATGAGCAAATGCTAATGTAAAATTATAAAATATATTATAGTATTTACTATATACTAGGAGAGGTGCGGTGGGTCTGTGGCTAAGGATCTGCGCCGG